TATGCAAAGAATTTTATATTTATAGCTAGATTTTAATGAAAACAACAGCAATTGTATTGCATTTAATTCTCTCTCTCTCTCTCTCTCGTGAAACACATTATACACGCATTTATAGACGCATTTGAAGTGCATTTGTGTCGTCCGTAATGTGTTTTGAAAGCCTTTATACCAATATTATTGTGCTTTTGGGGCAAAATGTTGTCTCGGATTTTGTTTTGTCGGCTCAGAGAAAATCACTGACTTTTATGCACATAAATAGACATAGATTACAGGGTTTTACCATGGGCAATTTACCCTATTTAGCTTTACTAGATGTATTGTCAAAATTTCTATATCAGGTTTATTGATAAGAATATTGAAATTTTATTTCGCCCGGAATTTTACAGAAATTTTTCTAAAGTTCCATATTTTGTGATATATTTTTGGTAATCCTGGCCACCCTAGGATCACATAGACCATGGTGATAATCTTTTAAGCAGCTATTCGTTAAAGTGTCTTAGAGTGTGTGTGTGTGTGTGAGAGAGAGAGAGAGAGAGAGAGAGAGAGAGAGAGAGCAAAAATAAAGAGAGTGTGACAAACGGTTTGACACTCAATATATAAGACTTTCATTCATAGGAAATACAAAATTGTTTATTTGGTGTATAAATATAGCGAACAATTCAATGGGAAATAGTGTGCAATCATTGAAAATCCAAGTGTCAGTCTCTCTCTCTCTCTCTCTCTCTCTCTCTCCTTCGGAAGCAATTAATACCTCAATCACTTTCACTGTATCATGATGCTAAATAAAAATGACCTAGTTTATCGTATTTTTCAGCCCATATTTATTACTGTTATTTACAATGCATATAATAAAAAACAAAAAATAGTGTTTAGAGAGAGAGAGAGAGAGAGAGAGAGAGAGAGAGAGAGCAAAAATAAAGAGAGTGTGACAAACAGTTTGACACTCAATATATAAGACTTTCATTCATAGGAAATACAAAATTGTTTATTTGGTGTATAAATAGCGAACAATTCAATGGGAAATAGTGTGCAATCATTGAAAATCCAAGTGGCAGTCTCTCTCTCTCTCTCTCTCTCTCTCTCTCTCTCTCTCGTTATCTGAAGATTAGGCACTCATTTACAGATCAATAGCCAAACAAGAATAAAGTCTTAAGTAATATTAAATTTTTATCCCTCTATATTATGGCAGTGTTTTGTAGCTTATAGTGAATACCATTTATTGTGAACAATACACTACTTATACATAACTTATAAAAGTTAATTACAAGCCTTTCAATAGTGTACCTCTTGAGTGATAAGACTGTACTATCCTTTGGACAATGTTTGAGAATTGATTTTGCATTTCAGCTTATTATAATTTTTACCATTATATTTTTTCAGCCCATATTTATTACTGTTATTTACAATGCATATAATAAAAAACAAAAAATAGTGTTTAGTTCCTATTGTTTTTGTTTGTTTTTAAATTATGAATATTAAAAATTTTAATTGATTTTACATAACTATTATTGTATTGTTTAACTGATGTATGAAATGATTTATTGATAATAAATTTACAAATGATATGTGAAATCGAAAGTTAAAATCCTTGTCCATTAGCCCCACTCCGCCCGTAAAATACGATAAACTAGGTCATTTTTATTTAGCATCATGATACAGTGAAAGTGATTGAGGTATTAATTGCTTCCGAAGGAGAGAGAGAGAGAGAGAGAGAGAGAGAGAGAGAGAGAATTAAATGCAATACAATTGCTGTTGTTTTCATTAAAATCTAGCTATAAATATAAAATTCTTTGCATATTCTGTACTCAATACAAAATCTCTAATTATAAATTCCCTGTTAATGCAAAATCCATTATAGATTCCCATTAATTGCCACTTATTTCTTTCCCTCCACTTCCCCTTTCATCTGATACATAGCTTTCTCATGTGTTGCTTAACCTTAATTCAATTATAAAATACTTATAAAACACACACACATACGTGTCATTCAAATTTTCAAATCAAACATAATTATTGTTATTTTATCCGATAGTCATGTCTATTATTTTTACACACTTTTGATTTCTTAAGTATTTTTTAATTAAAATATTTTGTGTTAAAGTGTTTTTCCTTTAAGTTTTTAATTAATTTTTTGATGAAAAAAGTTGAATTAAATTGCATTTAAAATTTACTTTATTGTCATTTATTTTTTGCTATTATTAACACATGTATATATTTTTAAATAAAATATTTATTTTGACATAGTTTACAAAACTATAATGTTATAGGGGTGTTAATTACATATTACACATTAATTACATAGTGTGAACATCGCTTAAAGGCAATCTGTGTAATTTTGTCACAACCAAAATAAATTCAATACAATATTTATTAATTAAATGATAAATATAGATAACAACAAATAAATAAAGGTTTAATTTCACTATAACGGTTAAGCGGGACATTATATCTAGGTGAATGTTATGAGGTTATAAAAAAGTAACATACCTTATATAAAATCATATTTTCTAAATGATAATTGGTTAACCTTGATCAAATATTTAATATTTACCATTACATAATTATAGCACAATCCATCTCTAAATGTGCATAATTATGGCCAAGGATATTATTTACTATAACAAGTGTTGACTATCAATAACTAGGCTATAGTAAACTCCCCTTAAAAATACTAATCAAATTAGTATAAAATACATATCAATCAAAATTTTAATCACATATTAATAACAATTTAAACAGACATTGAAAGCGTTTTTGCCGGATATGATGACGAGCACCCGTAACGGCCCGGACAAAGGGTACGGCCATCTGGTTTCGGTGGCGTCAGTGGCCGGGCTGTCGGGTAGTGTCCGTTTGGCCGACTATTGTGCCTCAAAGTTCGCCGCCGTAGGCCTGGAGGAGGCTTTAAGGCTGGAGCTGCACAGCGATGGCTACACTGGCATCAAGTCTACGGTGGTTTGTCCTTACTTTATCAACACAGGCATGTTTGCTGGCGTTAGCTCCAGGTAATTTCATTGGCACCAGTGTCAATTTTGTTCAGGGTCCAATTCTCACCTACCATGTCCCAATAAGATGGAATTGTTTTAGTTAAAATTTTAAACATAATATACAGTGTTTAGTGTTTTTTATACGATTATGTTGTTAATCAAAACCCCGTATAATAAGTGTTACACAAATATTTTCTCCGTAATTAATGAGTTTTGTTTTGTGTAAAACAATTTGAATATTTCAAATTCAATATAATTTTAATTATTTGATAAATTATTTCACAAATTATACGCATATTTTAACAAAACTGACAATTATTTTAAATATTTAAATGTCTGTTTAATGCATTTTTAGGGAAATATTATTATAATAATTTTATTTAATGACTGGTTGTGAGGGCACCCAAGGTGATATTTGTTGCTAAAAACATCATGGTCATAAATTGAAATCATAAATTTGCATTGAATTAAATAGATTAAAATTGTATAAATTATAATTACTAATATCTAACATAGCATAATACCAATCATGGAGCCCACGTGGGTGGCCGACGAGATTATGGCCGCCGTACTGACGAACCAAGAGATGTTGGTCTTGCCTAAGCTTTTCTATACACTACTGGCCCTTAAATCGTATGTATATTTTTGGATTAATAAAAAGTTATTATTTGCCATTATTTGCCATTGAAACTAATGTTGAGCAACGGGGTAAAATAAATTACCATATAGTCTTTATACAGTATATTCATAACTATAATAAATGTCCATTAGGTCATCCATGGCTACCCCTACCCTTTTGCTCCACATTTTTATGTGATATTTAAAAATTATTATATAAATATATTTTAAATATTTGGCTTAAATTCTTGCGCTATATTTAATGCTTAAATGCTTTGTTGAAATTCTGTGCATAAAACACATAAATGTAACGCTTTTATACTTATCTATGAAAAACTGTGATATAATTCAACAGAATATTCTGTTTACTATTATATAGAATATTCTTATGACTTGTGTTTGATGTGCGATATATAGTGTTTAGTTTATAAATGCTTTGCTATTACTTTGCTTTAACTGTTTACTATATCGGCAATGCTTTCCTATGGTAATAATGTTTTGTGAAATTGATTATTAAATTTTGATGGTAAAATTATACTGATCTACATAATCAAGAACAGTGGTAGAGTATATAATTAAAATTACCATATATTATTAACTGTTATTCTAGTCTTGTTTCTTAAATATTCATTTAAATAATTGAAATTGCATTAAGAAATTGTTGGAAATATATTTTAAAATCCAAACATACATTTAGTTTTTTGAAAACTAATGCAAAGTAAAGTAAAGTAATTTTAATTAGATTTAAAATTTCATGTAAACATTAATTAAGTTTGAGAACAGGAATTAGCATAAAGTTTGTTTGTCTTGTTTTTCATACAATATTATTATGTATTTTGCAATTATATAATAGTTATTGAAGTGTGAATAAGAAAACGACAAACATATGTATGTAGTTATTATTATAACTATTATTTTAAAGTGGTTAAAATAAAGATTTATTTATATAGTTTGCCATCGGTTTAGTTAACGGTGTCGTTTACTACAGTATACAGTATTTTAATAATGTATAGAAAATTAAAATATATAAATCTCCACATTATTGAGTATTCAAATCGTTTTAAATATAAAATACCATATAATCCGATACACAATATAAACAAATTTTATATATTATTTGAGAAAATAAATACATTATAACAACAGTTTTTGTTTGTCTGTGAGATTCTTCGCTAAATAGTTTGTCAATAGATTTATAAAAAATACATTTAATGCTCGAAAATGGTATTTAATTTTTAAATAAAAACTTTATTTTACATCAAATATCACTTTACATCTCAACGAGAATATCCTTTTTAAAGAGAGTGTGAGTGAGTGAGTGAGTGAGAAAGAGAGAGAGAGGGAGAGAGAATAAGATCTATATCAATACTGTATAAAGTACTGAATTTGTAAACAATTTTATCGTAACTATTTTTGTAAAAATATATTTTATGATGATATATTTAAGTCAATACTCAAAAATCAAATCAAATAAGAATTTCTAGTTTATTATTCTCTCTCTCTCTCTCTCTCTCTCGCTCTCTCTCTCTCGCTCTTTATCAGCCCACTAATGGATGAGCAATATATTCAAAACACGTAACCAATGGTTTTAAAAGTTATAAATAAATATATTTTCATTTTTAAAAATAAAATAAAACTTTTGTTTTTATATTTATTATTTACAAAGAAGTTTAAAAGTCTTGTCGTTTAATGTATATATTTTCATATATTGTTTACAATAGATTAGCATTTATGTTAAAAAGTATAAATTATTCATAACATAAATGTATGTAAACTTTACATGTATTTTGTATAATGTATTTTTTGTATACTGTATACTTTTTGATAGAAAAATTAATAATTAATTTTAACTATTATTACTACCAATACAACTGCAATAGTAGTTAATCAGGAAATACAGTAGTTTTCGAGAGTGTAATCGAGAGAGAGAGAGAGAGAGAGAGAGAG